GGAACCCCACCAAAAACTGAGGGTGATCTCAGGTCCTCCGGAAGGGTAAGCAGATCCTGCTCCACATGTGGCACCCACTGTGTTGCTCATGTTAGTACAAACCCGGTAATAAGATTAAATGGGTAGGTCACATTCTGGGAAAAGGGACGGGATTGTAGTTACGACATTTTGAACATATCCGCTATCACCTGTGAAACGGATATTCCATAATGGTCAACCAACTCGTGATGGCATCCGTAAAATTTACGAAAAATATAAGAACAATATTTAACTAGCCTTTAAGATTTTTAAAATTAATCATAACAGCCTTTAGAAGCCCATCTGGGATTTTGATAGGTTAATGTTTTTTCTTTAGCTGAATGACTCTTAAATTGAAATGATTGTTCAATAATATTGATTTAATATGTTAGAGATCGTTATTTTCTATGATAAGATAATAAATAGAATGAATAAACATGTGTCTGTCACAATTCATAATGATATCAGTTATTTACCGGTAACTACTTATTGTCCCTGAATAGCTTCTTTTCATTTAATTTTTCCAAAATTGGATGATAATTTTCTTGTAATTCTGTACTATTTTAATTTCCAGGATTGGAAAATGTCAATTTCACAAGTTTTCTGTCAAATTCTAACATTGTCTTACTACTCAAAAATAATTCAAGAAAAGTAATGGTTCCTTGTGTATTTCTTTAAGGTTGAAATTTCTTATTTAACATCTGGTTAAGAAACCTTCGCATTGTTTACCGTTAACCAATTAACCATTTGATTAGTGATAGGTTCTAAAGAGAGAATCAAAGGGCTTGTGAGCACTAAAGGGTAAAGACTGCATTCATTTTGCAGTGGAAAGTATAAACAAGACCAATACCGGGTCTGGACCTGGGTCGCTGCATGCAACTGATTAAGGCAACAAGTATACTAGAGCATTATTGATCATTTCCAGACAAAATATTAAAATCATTCACTTCAATAGGAGCCAAGAAAACTTTTCCTTGTACAATGAGTGTTGTGAAATTTCAAACTATTAGCAAACAGGAAGTGCTGACACGATAGATGTAAAAATTGCTTACTTGCTAGAACTCAATATTATCAAGCTGCAGACAAAATATTAAATCATTCCCCTCGATAGAAGCTAAGAAAACTTTGACAAAAGTTTTCTTTCAGACAGAAGGACAGACAGACAGAAGGAGTCAAGCAGTCTAGTCCATGGGACACAGATGCCTCTGCTTGTAAATATATGGCAAATTCAGCCATTTTTTCCATTCATAAAGGGACATGACTTGAGAACAATGCAAGTGACACCACCTAAATTTGAGCTTGATCTGTGTTTGGTGGTAATAAATATTGTGTACAAGTTTCATAACATTTGGTTGAGGCAAACTAAATTCAGAGAACAGAAACTGCAAATTTGCCAATTTTTCCATTTATAAAGGCACATAATTTGAGAACGTCATAAGTGACGCCACCCATATTCTAACTCTATCTGTGTTTGGTGGTAATAAGCATTGTGCATAAGTTTCATAACATTTAGTTGAGGAAAACTTAAGTTAGAGAACGGAAACTAAATTTGGGACAGATGTACAGACATACAGTCAGACAAGGGTATAACTTAATGCCCCCTCTGCAGTGGCATTGGAAGGCAATACTATGAATTGGAGATATAATTGTAGTTGTGTCGTCAACTACAATTATGTATAAAGGAAGATAACTCCAATTTTAAACATTACTTTAACAATGACATCATTGATATTTTTAGAATAGATACTAGATTCATACACCATGCACAATTTATGAAATTTTCTTGACATGATACACATCATTTTGAAACTTGAACATCTGAGCATATTTTTTCATTGATAAATTTCTTAAAATTTTCATAGGTAGGATGTATGGTATGTTGTGCTCAATGCACTATGTTTTGTGTATATATCAAAAGTAGTGATAAAATCTGAAAAATGATTACTATCTAGCCAGCCACATGAATGCAATCTTTACCCCAAAAATATTTTTTTTGTATCTAGTGAAGATTGTTTGTTCAGGCAACCATGTGATCTCAGGCAAGTTCAAGTGCCATTCATGCCATCAAAAAGAAGTGTAGAAAATGACTCATGAATGTGAAATTGATAAACTGCAGCTTCAAACACTTCTTATCATCTTGGTAGCAGTTGTGCCTCTGTCCAAGTGAAGCAAGTTGAAATGGTACAGAATTGCAAGAAATGTGTTTTCTAATTTTAGAAGAAAAAAAAATTTAACATGCTGTTAAAATGTTTACTTTTTTCTGAGTTTTGTTTTTATGATTTAAGGGTCAAATTGTAAATAAGATTTTATTTTCATCATTTTCTTGTCCCCAATTGTTTTCCTTTAAGATAAAATTTACACAAGGGGAAATTTTGATTCTTAACCTTATCAAATTGTGAAATAAGTGAAAAGAAAACCACTTTTACAGAAAATTTTCAAACATAATACATTTAGTACACTGTGCAATATGCACTGAATCAGAATGAACTGTTGTTGTTTAAAAAGGTTCTATATTTTAGGTGTCTTATCATTAGCACCCTACAACTTTGGGGATTCTATAATATTAAAAATTTTCCCAAGGTTAGTCTATAATTCTGCTAAATAGTGATAAATTTCCTTATCCAACTTTCAGAATGATTTTTATCCTTTTTATGATTTGCTTCATCATGGCAACCAGTTTTAATTGATGGAGGGAGCACCCAAAGACAACCACAAACTTTCTGCAAGAAACTGGCTTTCATAGTCAATTATGATCAGAGTTGAAAGCACCTTGCCACAAGCAGGGCAAACTCACAACCTCTTGAGTGTTGACAGATTAATGAGGCTTGTATTGGCTATATTGGGATACGGGATATTTGCCATTTTAATTTTAGGAATATGGGATATTTGTCCTAAAAATGAATGGGATATGGGATATTGATGCATTTTAAGGGATACTGAATATTGAACATGAAAAAAAAATGTGGAATTTAAAAGTAAAGTACAGAAATAGTTACATCTCACATGAAAAAATTGCCAAAAATAGGCCGTTAGTTTTCTCAGCAATTGAATTGTTTCATATTTTTCATGTCGGGGCCTTTTATAGCCGACTATATGGTATGAGTTTTTCTCATTGTTGAAGGCCGTATGGTTGCTTATAATTGTTTACATCCACTTTATTTGAACTTTGGTGGATAGTTGTCTCATTGGCAATCATACCTCATCTCCTTATTTTTATAAGGGTAAAAATGATAAGCATGTTAAGATTTATCTGCCATGTAATTTTTCAAACCAATTGGACAACCCTATTTGTAGTTATTGCATCTGGAATTATAAATTTTACGAAATATCTCTGGTTTTTTTTATTTAGTTGTTTTTATTATTATCTTAAATGCTGATAAAGAGAAATTTTGAAGAGCAAAAATAGCCAGCAAGTTGAGATCTACAACTAAGTTAACTGACCGAAATTGTAAATTTATCCCTTAAAGGAGTTATTGGCTTGAAAAGCATTTTTTTTTTAATTAAATTTTCAAGTTTTTTTTTAGAAACTATAATAGATGAAGGGAAACTTAAAGTGACAAAAATGTTCAACAAAATTAGATCTACGAATAAGTTAACATGACCAAACTGGTCAACTGATCCTTTATAGGAGTTATTGCCCTTGAAAGATTATTTACTAAAAGTTTAAATCTTTTGGAGAAACAATGTTGGACATGGATAAACATTAAATGGCAAAGATCTTTAGTAAAATAAGACCTACAAATAAGTTATCATGACCGAAATTGCCAATCGAGCTCTCAAAGGAGTTATTGCCCTTGTTTGACATATCCCTGCCATTTTATTTTTCAAATATAGGAGCTAGATTAAAAGTTTAATTTGGGAAAATTATCAACATGATGACATGTATCCACCCTGAAAATTTTCGAAAAATCTAACCACTTGTTTTTGAGTTATTGTCCCTGAAATGTCTATTTTTATAATTTTTAGCAGTTGTTGGCTGTTATCATGAAAACTATATGAGCTAGATTAAAAGTGTAAATAAAAAAAAAATAATTATCAGCATAACAAGACCTATTTACTATGATATTTTTGGCAACAAGTTTTAGAAGTATTCCCCCTGAAATGTTGATTTTAACTGTTTTTGAAGTTTTGGCTTTTTTGATTTCTAAAAACCTATATATAGGAGCTAGGTTAAGCATGTAAATTGCAATAATGATCAGCAACAGAAAGAGTAACTAAATTATGTGCATATCAAAGTCCTCATTAGAAAACTGGCGATTTTTTTTTTCATCAGGTGAGCGATAAAGACAGAGTTGTGCCTCTTGTTTATATGTCAAATAAATAATTAACTTTTCTAATTTAACTGTGAAAAAGCCCACATCCTTACTACAACGCATACAACATGTATTTACGAATGATGTATACAAAAATGGGTTTGGGAATTAATTAATGATTTTTTGGGATATTTCAAAATAGTTTTAGGGATACAGGATATTTGTAAAAAATATTTATTGGGATATTAGGGGTAAAAATTATAGGGATATTGGATATTGGGACAAAAACTTAATGGGATATGGGATATTGATATCCCCCTAAACAAGCCTCATTAATGATCATTGAAGATAAACTACTTAAACCACTTCGCAACTTAGGACCCTTCTTTTTTATGAACCAATATGAATAGAAGAAACATAGTATATATATAAAACAGCAGTTAAATATGACTTATATACTTGCTGGCATTTGATTATTTTTTCCATGCCTTTGCCATTAGGTATCAAAAAGTAAAATAACAAAAATTCCGAACTCCAAGGAAAATTCAAAACAGAAAGTCCCTTAACAAATGGCAAAATCAAAAGCTCAAACACATTTTCATTCAGTGATATTCCTCAATTGTTTATGGTGAAACATTTGTTATAAACAGTATTACTGGTTCTATTTTTAAGATGATATAACAGTTTGGGATGTGCAAGACTATATGAAAATAAAACTAGAAGATTAAAAAAAGCAAATTATTTATAATTATATTGAAAAAAAAGAACATTTCAAATTCTAAGGAACAGAAAAGTATGTACAATCTATGATTTTTGTTATAGGCTATAATTTGCAATATCAAGCAATGTTTATTTCTGGCTATGATGAAAACTAAAAATATACAATATAAGGTCAATGTTAGAAAATATCAACTTTTTAGTATGAGGCTTAGAAACTGGGGAAGGGCAAGGTTAACCAAGCCGTTTAAGTTTCATGCCAAATACAAAAAAGTTGATATTTTTCTGACATTGACCTAATATTGTTTTTATACTGCAGATAAAAATTGCTACAAACATATTTAGGAGAAAGCTAACACAAAAATTAAACTTATTTTCCATCCCTAAACATACCCACGATTGTGATGAAAAGTGACATGTCATGAAATCAACATTGCATGAAATATCCCTTTGTTACTATATCTAGTAGATAAAGACAACAGGAAGTGTTCTATCTGCAGCATAAATAAATGTATTGAAAACAATATAATATAGACATGATAAAATGCATTTGACATGAAGTTAATAAGATGTATATAATACTGATAACTTCTTCCATAAATATCTACTCCAGGAAACATGAACCCCATTCAATTGCCCTTGTTTTTTGACATATGAACAATAACATCAATTGAAAAACTTGCATTGTTCAGAAATCACATCGAGATCATATAATAGTTTGAACAAATTTATACCACCAGACTTTGTCTTTTATCAATCGTTGAATACCAGGAAGTGCTGCATATATACAGATACAAGTTTAGTATTCATCAGTTGTATTTACAACTAACCTTTTAAACAGTATTACATTTTCTTTTCTTTTCACATTCATTACTTCATAAAAGCTCATGCATTTATAATAATTATGTTGTTAAACTTTATATCTCAACTACACAGCAGCACGCACAGCGATCTCTTTCTTTTTGGATTTTAACAACAATTATGCGTATATTTACACTCATTAAAATATTTAGAATAGTTGCAAATTTCTCACAGGATCAACATCTAATAACACTCATTCTTGTCATTCAGGATAAATAATCATGACATCTCCTAGATTTTAATTCAAGTTCACAGGTTTAATGCCATGTAGAAACACAAGTATAGTATTCGTCAAAATCATAAGTCACTAAATCCAATATTTCTTGCAAAATGTATTTCCTTGTTACCAAGATAGTTGTTATGCATGTTCATACTTGAAGAACAAACATAACTATTACAACAAATTGAAGTCTCATTTGAGATCTTTCAAGATAATTCGTAGTTTAAAGTCTGCCACATCAACCCATCACAAGTCTGTATGATTATTCACAAAAAGAAAGTTATGTGTTCCAATTTCTATTCTGAAGATTGTTTTTACCAAGGAAATGTAACAACATACTTATAAAATTTGACAAATACATATGTATATTTTTTTTGTCAACTTACATCCATTGAAATATGTCTTTTTCTGAAAAATTCTAAATTCTCTATCAAAGATAGGAAAACTATAGAAATAAGTTTAAACTGAGTTTTTTAGAAACTGAGAATAACTGTTCCACAAGGATTCAGTTGATCATAGTTTAATATCGAGATTTCTCTTTAATTTTAAAAACCAAACCCATTCTAGGACTAAATTACGAAAGAAAAAAACAAAGAAGTTCAAATGCATTTGTAGTTTTAAATTTTTCTTGAAATTTCAGAGGGACAGCATTTACATGGAAACTAAAGAATTGCATGATGGTATATTTTTGCCTTTAATAAGCAATTAATATTTAAGTAACACATGAGTATTTCATTATGTTATGCATCAAAACAGTTTTTTAGCAGTACTGATTCAAATCAATCAATTTACCTTTTTTGAAGCAGATTTATAAACTATAATAACAAAAAAGATAAAAGCTCATCTCAATCTGATTTTGCTCATATAAAGTTGAGAGAAAAGAATTTAGCCGGTTAAATAATGAAAATCATTTTATTAAGTTTTAGACAAAATATGTAATAACTTTATCAGTACCAATTTTATTGCACTAGATGCAAATTTCAACAATAAATGTCTTTTCAGTGATACTGAAGGCCATTTTAAAAGTCCAAAACTTAATACAAATGTTGAAGAGCTGATAAAACCAAAAAGGGCCAAAAGTAAAGCCAAACACGGACAAGGAATCTAAGCTATGAAAAGATCATTTCTTATATAAATTTCAAACTTCAACTAAACTAGATTAAATGAGAAATAAATTGTAAAATTTTATTCTTATTTCAAAACTAGTGTTTCAATTGAAGCCATTAAACGGAATGTCTGATGATCTTCTGTTTATCTATTCTCTTGCTTATTAATATGCTAATTCAGAAAGGTTTGACTTTTCAAATGGGCCACATATTTCCAAGCTTGGTTTATGATTCCTTCCTTTAAACTGAGAAATTGGAAAAAAAGATTTCCACCATTGCAACAACGTTTGTAGTCAGTTTAAGGCAGGTGACCTTTTCTTGTAACATACCATAATTAATTTGAAACAATTTACTTCTCAGTAAAATTTTGAGATGAAAAAGCTCTATTATTATAAAATTCAACTTTGATTTATTGTGAATACTTTCTGAAAAAAATTTGAAGATTCATTTACTATTTCCTGTGGATAAATATCACTAGCTCAGTAAATTGCAATGGAAAAGCTTCTGTTTCTGAAAACATTTTTCACTTAAAAAAACTTGAAAAATAGGCAAAATTCAAATAATATATAAATAAAAACACTTTAAGATTTTTTTTCATTAAACTTCTGAGCACTGATGTATGGGAGATAATTCTAAGTGGTATTCAAAGTCAACTCTTTCTTACTAGTAATTTGAAAAAATTAAAAATGAGGTACTGAAATAAAGTTTTTGATAGAAATATTTTCTTTATACTGCAAACTTTTACTATGTTATTAAAAAAAAATCTTATTTAAGCAATATACATTCAAATTTGATTGAATTTAATAAAAAATATAACTTCAGATTTTTATTTGTTTTCTTATGTTTCCTGTAAAAGCTGTCCAAATAATCCACCCCCTAGAAAGACAGAAACAAGCCTGCTACATTATCCTGTCAAGTTTGTATGAATGTTTTTAGTCCATACAAACTGGATAGGAAGATGTGGCAAGACTTGACACCCTCCCCCATAATGAGTTGCTAATGATGTGGCAGACCTGATGTATCAACAGCAATTTTCAAAAATATTGTATCATCTCTCAGGTATTTTCTTGTTTCTAATTTTGCATGAGAAACAAACATTGGGCATCCTACTGCAGTATTCATGTCTGTTGTTGGTCGCTGGAAACTAGAGCTGGAAGTGTCTGGCCTAAAGCTATCGGATACTGGTTGTGAACCGTCTTGCTGATCTAACAGTCCCATTTGAATGTTTTGTTGAAAAGGCCAAGGCATAAGTGCATCATGCTCTCCCTTCATAACAACAAAGAAAAGTGATAAATGTGTTCCTTTTCCCATTCCATCACCATTCAAATATACTCTTCCACACATCTTATATCCAAATCGTCCGGTATAAAAAGGTTGACTAAATAACGAATATGTGCGACCACTTACAGCATCATTTTTTCTACGAGCGAAATCCATTATTTTCCAAATAAGAATGCCATTATAGCTTGCAGTTTCTAAGATTTGAAACCTTAAATCTAATTCTGCCAAACGAATGTCCTGAATTGCTGCTTGTTTCTCCAAATTTGAAATTTGTTTTTTAAGTGCCTCTACAAAATCGAAAGTAACAATTAAGATAGAAGCAAGTTAAAGAAAGTAAAATGAAAAGAAAGGAATATTAATTAGATATTGTTGAAATACTGACCTATATTTTATGATCACAAATGAATGATAGGACTATATGCAACTCAAAACTATCATGTTTTTAATATTACAAATTTTTGTCAGAACAGTTACAAAACAATTTTTATTATTCTTAAAGCTCAACAATCATCAAATTGAAATAAACATTGAAATTCTCCTGAAATAAAACTGTATCTGAAAATAACAGAACATTTAAAATATTTCTATTGTGATAATAAATAGGGCATCTAATTTCTATATCATTTTATATGTTATAAAGTCCCTTTTTTCTATAGACTCGTATTTTTATATATGTTTTTTTTTTTGGTTTGATAGTGTTTAATTCTCTATTTTCTAGTTCTGTATGTGTGTTTGTTCTAATATGGTTTTAGGTCCCTTTTTCTGTGTTTGTTCTAATATAGTTTAAGTCCCTTTTTCTTTAGTCCCAAAATGATTTGGCGAACAGTGTAATTGGTACAGGCAACCAGTCTATCAACATCTAGTAAGTTATTTACAAATGTACAAATTTTGTAACACTGCCCTATTTGAAGAACTTGTTTAGATAGCCAGAGCTATTTTATACCATTTAGTGTACTGGTGATAAGTTACAGCCAATTTTACAATTAGTGGTCAATCAGCTACCTAGACCACTGGACGGTACTTAGAACACTGGATAATATGTAAAAGCTACACAGACCACTGGAACATATGTACAGATAATGTTCCATCAACTACCCAGACCACTGGACAATATGTACAGATAATGATCATTATACATACTTTAACATTTACCGAATAACTTTATTACATTTTACAATAAGTCTGCATATAACCAGCTATCTACACAACTGGACCACTGAGGTCACATTTACACATACTATAACATTAACCAAATAAGTATATTTTACAAAATATCTGCAAGCAACCAGCTACCTAGGCCACTGGACCATTTAGGTCGCATTAATACATACTTTAACATTTACCAAATTACTAAATTTTAAAATATCTCTGCATACAAATCATAAGAACACTAACAACTGTAAATAATTTTATTATCTACTTTTCAAGACAGTATAGTAGTAGTCATGTAAAACAAGTACTCGTATAGGTACTCCCTAGACATACAGTAAGTTGATAATTTTCTATATTCATTAAGAATAAGAAATATAAGTGGAAGGCAAATAATCTCATATCATAATATATCTGTGTCCGTAGTTATAACGTCAATAAATTGTTCATACATGACAGTCATTATAATCAAAATACCACATTTGGGTATAAGTAATCAAAGTCATTAATCATTGAGACTAGTTCACAAATAATCAAATCAAAAGAACATATGTTATCATAGAAATAATCAGAAACTATATTATTTCAACTACTTTCTTATATACATACTGCATGATCTGTATGTACTTTTCATATAGTGTTTTATCATGTCACAAGGTCACAATAATTGCAGATGTATTTATCGATATGCTGCTGATAAAAACAATAATTACCTGTGGTACTAGGATCTGTGTTTCCACGTCTTGTGTCTCCACTTGTGAAACCTTGTCTATCAAAGTCTGATAGTTTTCGATTTAATTCTTCCTGATTGTCTTTTAATGATCTTAATTCCCGTCCAAGGTTGTCAGTTGTATGTTTACTTGGAACGTTTTTTAATAATTCTTCCATCCCAAACACTTTTTCTACAGTTGAGACAACTCTCATCTAAAATTGATAAATAGTTGCAAAATTGTATAAATTTATACATAATTCTTATCTAAACTAAGCTAAAATGCTACTTCTGGAATTTTTTGTATTATGACTATCTGTAAACTCACAAGATGAAATGAAATGGAACTTTGATATCATGATATATTTCCACAAAAATAAGTATAAGAATATGTTAAAACTCTATTACATAATTCTAAATCTAATTTGCTTGCCACAAGAATATATCTTAGAACATAGTTTCTGAAAGTCCATGACCTATACATATTATATAAAATAAAATGCTTCGCTGGGACGCAGCTTGATACGACCGCAGAGGTCGAACCCTGAACAGTTGGGGCAAGTATGGACACAACATTCAAGCTTGATACAGCTCTGAATTTGGATTGTTATTAAATATTTGACACAGCATAGGTTTCTGACACAGAAAGAATGTGGTCTAAGAACTTGAATTTTTTTAATTTACCTATTATGGTCCAATGTCCAAAATCAAAATACATGGTTAGATTCAGCATATCAAAGAACCCCATATATTCAATTTTTGTTAAAATCAAACAAAGTTTAATTTTGGACCCCAACTTGGACAAACTTGAAAACTGGGCCCATAATCAAAAATCTAAACACATGTTTAGATTCAGCATATCAAAGAACCCCAAGAATTCAATTTTTGCTAAAATCAAACTAAGTTTAATTTTGGACCCTTTGGACCTTAATGTAGACCAATTTAAAAAACGGGACTTAAAATTAAAAATCTAAATACACGGTTAGATTTGGAATATCAAAGAACCCCAGTAATTCAATTTTAGATGAAATCAAACAAAGTTTAATTTTGGACCCTTTTGACCTCAATATGAACAAATTTGATAGGGGGGCGGGCCCACAAATAAAAATTCTAAATGCATGGTTAGATTCAGCATATCAAAGAACCCCATATATTCAATTTTTGTTGAATTCAAAAAAAGTTTAATTTTGGACCCCAACTTGGACCAACTTGACAACTGGGCCCATAATCAAAAATCTAAACACATGTTTAGATTCAGCATATCAAAGAACCCCAAGAATTCAATTTTTGTTAAAATCAAACTAAGTTTAATTTTGGACCCTTTGGACCTCAATGAAGACCAATTTAAAAAACGGGACCCAAATTAAAAATCTAAAAACACGGTTAGATTTGGCATATCAAAGAACCCCAATAATTCAATTTTCGATGAAATCAAACAAAGTTTAATTTTGGACCCTTTTGACCTCAATATGAACCAATTTGATAGCGGGGCCTACAAATAAAAAATCTAAATACATGGTTAGATTCAGCATATCAAAGAACCTCATATATTCAATTTTTGTTGAAATCAAACAAAGTTTAATTTTGGACCCCAATTTGGACCAACTTGAAAACTGGGCCCATAATCAAAAATCTAAATACATGTTTAGATTCAGCATATCAAAGAACCCCATATATTCAATTTTTGTTGAAATCAAACAAAGTTTAAATACTGGACCCTATCTTGGACCAACTTGAAAACTGGGCCCATAATCAAAAATCTAAACACATGTTTAGATTCAGCAAATCAAAGAACCCCAAGAATTCAATTTTTGTTAAAATCAAACTAAGTTTAATTTTGGACCCTTTGGACCTCAATGTAGACCAATTTAAAAAACAGGACCCAAAATTAAAAACCTAAATACACGGTTAGATTTGGAACATCAAAGAACCCCAATAATTCAATTTTAGATGAAATCAAACAAAGTTTAATTTTGGACCCTTTTGACCTCAATATGAACCAATTAGATAATGGGGTCCACAAATAAAAAATCTAAATACATGGTTAGATTCAGCATATCAAAGAACCCCATATATTCAATTTTTGTTGAAATCAAACAAAGTTTAATTTTGGACCCCAATTTGGACCAACTTGAAAACTGGGCCAAAAATCAAAAATCTAAATACATGTTTAGATTCAGCATATCAAAGAACCTCATATATTCAATTTTTGCTAAAATCAAACAAAGTTTAATTTTGGACCCTTTGGACATTAATGTAGACCAATTTGAAAACTGGACCCAAAATTAAAAATCTAAATACACTGTTAGATTCGGCATAACAAATAAATAAATGTGATCAAAGATTTTACAAATCTAATGCGCCATACTGTGCAATTAAAGATTACTTCTTGAAATTTTTCAATATTTGAAATTTGAAAAAAAAATAATATTTGAAGAATAATTCTTTTTAATTTCTGAAATCTGAAATGAGAAAAAATTGGCCCCCCACAATTTCTTTTTATTCCCCCCCCCCCCCCCCCTTTTTCCCCCAAAAAAATTCTTTCCCTCAAGATATGGTCATAATCTCAATTCAAATTTCCAATGGAGTTGGCAACCATAATTACCCATTTAAATTTACCATAGTGCTAACTTAATCTATTTTATAATAGAATTAATAAAAATATAGTGTCAAATCTTTCATATGGATTTTTTTGTAAAAAAAAAAGATGAAAACATTTGCAGATATTTTTACTGGTCTTCCTTTATAAATATGCATTTTTTAAACATAATTTAAAAGCAGTGTAAGGGAAATAACCAAAACGTTGTATTTGGATTACCTCCCTTACACTGTTTTAGATTATCTTTATTGTTCATTAACCATTACTTTATACATAATTTAAAAGCAGTGTAAGGGAGATAATTTCAATGATGTATTTGATTTATCTCCCTTACACTGCTTTAAATTATGTTTTGTACTAAAGTATTTGTCCATTAACCAGGACAACCTTGTTTTTCCCCCTTTTTTGCCCCTAATTCCTAAACGGTTTGAGCCATAACCCCCCAAAGCAAATCCTAACCATCCCTTTGTGGTATGGAAACTTGTAGTATAATTTCAGAGAGATCCATACACCGTTCCACAGTTATTGTCTGGAAACTAGAAAATGCTCATTTTTAGCCCCTTTTTGGCCCCTAATTCCTTAACTGTTGGTACCATAACCCCCAAAATCAATCCCAACCTTCCTTTTGTGGTATTTAACCTTATGGTCAAATTTCAAAAAGATCGATTCACTTAAACTAAAGTTAGAGTGCGAAAACCAATATGTATTCGGACGACGACGCTGGACGACGACGACGACGACGACGACGACGACGCCAACGTCATACCAATATACGACCACAAAATTTTTTTGCGGTCGTATAAAAATGGGTCAAAGTCTCAAATGGTCAGGTTGCAATATTTGAATGAATGAGTTTATTTGCAAAAAGCATAAACATGCTATAGCAATCAAAAACATATATTACACATATGACACAATAATAAACAGCAGAAAACAACACACATTTGTAATTTGAAATAACCTAGTTACGAATATTTATCCCTGTTATTTATATCCAAGTATCTAAGAAATATATTTTGCTGCTTTTTCATTTGATTCTTACCTGAAAATCTACATATTCCTTTTTCAAACCTTCATAATGTTGTACCAAAGTTCTATAATCATTTCTGGTGGCTATTATTTCTTCTTCCATATGTACTTTCTGGTCTTTAAGAATCTGTAAACATATCAAAGAAAATAGGATTATGTCTATTTTATACTTTACATACTAACCATTTTGCTAAAGTAGGCAATGAAAAAAATAAAATAAAGTAGAATACAACATTCAATGAACTGCAGCTGTTTCATCCCCGTCTTGCACAACATTTGATTAAAGTCATAACTGAAAGATGTACATGTACCATAATGTTTCAGGTGATTTACCATTAATTTTTTACTCAAAGTCAATATGTTAAAATAGTGTAAAAACATTTATCATGAAAACCTATGCTTTAATTTGTATTATAAAATTGTATTTACAAAAGAAATGATTAACAATTGTACAAATCTATTGTCTTAAAAACAACCTTTTACACATGTTTCCAAGTTTTACCCATATTTGAAAAATACAATTCTTTTTTTCAAACCAACTCAGGCATTGCCAACATGGCTTGTCATAAAAAAACGGATTTGAAATTATCTAACTGACAAGGTTATAAGTTGAATCACTGAAAGTTAATAAATCAAAAATAAGTATTTCTTTTTTTCAAATCGATTTTCTTGACAAATAGAACATTGTATATCTTCTTATGCCACCATGCATTTCTAAAAAAGATGGGAAAAAAAATCAGAATTTTAATTTACTGTGGTTTTATGTTACTTCCATCATTTATCCATACTTGTATACATATCATATATATAATTTAAACCAATCATTTTACTATACAAAAAAAATACCACTCCTCTGTTATGGATGGCCATCATTTTGATAAGTATAAGAATGAAACACCTCAATGAGAATGAAACACATAAATGAATAAGCAATACTTAATGTATGGGTAAGGATTACAATGTATGCAATAAAAAAGATGATCACTTTTAAGCCATAGTTTTAATGCTTGCATATACTGAAAGATAAGTGTTTAATTTGTAGATATAAAAATCCTGCCTTCATACACTCTACAAGTATATGCTACTTTTCAACAAAGATTTAAAACAGTGACATTACAGAAAGCCCAAACTTCTTAATCTAATAATTTACCAAATTCCATATATACTGAGTGCAAACAGAAACACAACACACCATAATCAAAATCCATTTTGGTCCCTTTTTGAATGACAATGAAAATTTATTTTTTAATGCATTTCTCTTATAACTATGACAATTGCACACAATGTCATGTATGTAAATGTGTTCTCCTCAGAAATTTCAAATAATATCCTGGGATAGTGCCAGAAACCATCTTGTTCCTGAAATCTATAAGAATAGGGTTAACCAAATTATACGATAAAACCTGATAGGATATCTGATAGTGAATACAATAAGGAGAACACTGTTGTTGTATAATAGTATATTAAACCTACTGTACAAATATCCATTGAAGTGTTTGAACTTGGCAAACCTCTACATTTAAGTAGAACTCAGTCTCAGGACCAAATATATAATGAAATCTGGAAGCAAATCATGACTAAGCAAACTTAAAAATCGGCAAGCACAGATAAGATTAATGATTCGTCATTATTCTTTTCAACCTTTGTGCCATTTCTATTTCTGCTACTGCCTACAATTTCATTGAATATTAGTTGACTTCCTTCCTCCTTTTCTTCTTTGTGCCATTTCTATTACTGCTACTGCCTACAATTTCATTGAATATTAGTTGACTTCATTCCTCCTTTTCCTCTTTGTGCCATTTCTATTTCTGCTACAATTTCATTGAATATTAGTTGACTTCCTTCCTCTTTTCTTCTTTGTGCCATTTCTATTTCTGCTACAATTTCATTGAATATTAGTTGACTTCTTTCCTCCTTTTCTTCTTTGTGCCATTTCTATTTCTGCTACAATTTCATTGAATATTAGTTGACTTCCTTCCTCTTTTCTTCTTTGTGCCATTTCTATTTCTGCTACAATTTCAATGAATATTAGTTGACTTCTTTCCTCCTTTTCTTCTTTGTGCCATTTCTATTTCTGCTACAATTTCATTGAATATTAGTTGTCTTCCTTCTCCTTTTCTTCTTTGTGCCATTTCTATTATTGCTACTGCCTACAATTTCATTGAATATTAGTTGACTTCCTTCCTCCTTTTCTTCTTTGTGCCATTTCTATTTCTGCTAAAATTTCATTGAATATTAGTTGACTTCCTTCCTCCTTTTCTTCTTTGTGCCATTTCTATTTCTGCTAAAATTTCATTGAATATTAGTTGACTTCCTTCCTCCTTTTCTTTTTTGTGCCATTTCTATTTCTGCTACAATTTCAAATTCCATATTAGTTCATTGCATAATAATTGGCTTCCTTCCCTCTTTTTATTCTTTGTGTAAAAGTTTTGTGGTGAAGTTATTTCCATTTAATTTTATGGTTGTTTCAAACCTTTTTTTCATCATAACAAATTCCCTTTTAACTTAATGTTTATTTCTCAACTTAATTGTTAATGATGCATTCATCTCTGGAAACTGAATTCCTTCTCTTTATTCCTACTGTTGATTAATACTAACTGAGTGGGTCTTGTTCTAAATGAAGTAGGCTTGTTCTTTTCATAACCATCCATTCATTTTTTTCTCTTTCTACATGTTCTATTTCTATTTCTTAGTGCTGCTTTGCAGCAAAATATTTATTCTGTGTAGTTGCTATTGTTCTTTATTCACAGAAACAATCTTCATATCATCTTTTGGAGTTTAGAAGCTTTTAGATAGTGATTCATGCATGTTCCATCAACCTTAGGCAATTCATTGTTATGTTCTGCAGATAAAAGATACAGTTTATTCCAAAATTGAAAGCTTTTAGTAGCCAATATTTCTCAGTCGATACCATTGCTAAGATTTGTGTTAGAAAAATTCAATTTAACATTTATGAGTTATTTTCTTCCTTTTTTTGCTGGCTTGAATGACACTGCCACTTGCCTGACTTCCATTTTGAAGAGGTCTCAATTCTCCATTGATAATCTGTATTCCATATTAAAATATAGTGATCTAGAAAAGGGCAATGACAGTTGGATATCTATTTCTGATTTTGCCAAACATGATGCGTTCCAGGTATTCTAAAACCAGAGTAGCAATTATGAGAATCTTCTTCGTTTTAACTTTTCTGTGTTGATTATACTTTTTGATTATCTAACTTGATGCACAAATAAATATTGTTTTCCTTAGATTCACTATCTGATTTTGGTATCTTTCTTTATACAGCTAGAGAAATCTGCAATATTTGCTTCATGCTGAAATTTGTAGCCTCTCCAACCATTAATATGCATCACTATTTTTTTTTATGAAATTATCATTTCATTAGTACATTAAAATAAAATTCTCAAGAAATGTGCACTTCTCCACTAGTAATTTCTCACTTGAACGCATTTTGCTGAAGTTAAAATTCTAAGAAATTAATAAACATTCAACACTGTATATGAAAACAATAATTATAATGAATCTAATGATGAACAATGAATCATTTTTTTCACAGTACAACATAAATGTTTGCAATATCTTTCAGGCCATCCATCTTAACACAGTTCAAATTCATAAAATGCCATAAGGCTTTAAGCTCATATAAAACAAATCATCTGGTTCTTTTTTACCACAAACAAAGTATAATAAAAAATGCTTATTTGTGTTTGTTTATTTCCTGTAAAAGACAAAATGAAAGCTGAAATTTTGAATTTCTTGAAAGTTTGGTGACAGGGGACAACTGCATTCTCTTATCTATCATGTCTATTATGTTCATACTGGTTTAATAGGGAGAAACAATTAAACATGGTGTTTCATCAATTGTCACTTAATTTAAAATATAGATATTTTAATCACCCAATCAAAAGTTATGTTTAAAAAAACCTTTCTTGTTGTAACAAAAAAATGTCAGCATGTTTCTACATTTTGCACATCTAAAGAAGAAAATCCAACACTTCCCTGACAGTCAGGATGACTATAAATTGGTACCCTAGTATACTAAGGTTGTCAATTTCGAGCTTATGTTTCTACTGTCTATGTATTAATCTTCTTTATTTTGTGTTAAACTTAGGAAATTTGTCAAATGATTTCAACCGAGTGAAACATGAATGGAAAATTGGATCTGATAGTTAGGCATACATTTCTTTTCAGCCCTATTGATAAGAAAATGTCTAGATATTCCTAATTTTTTCTTTCTCCTCTGATATTGTGAAATTAGGACAACAGCGGAGCAGGCTTTTAAAAAGAGACTTTCTAAAATAAGTGCTCAAGATAAAGTTTAAGTGCAAAATGGACTGGATAAATATAATACATGTAACAGTAAATTCAGAGTAAACCAGTGAAAAATTACAAGTTTAGATGCAAAACAGGGATTGGATATATACAATAACTTTGTATTGTTAGCAATCAAGAGAAAATTTTACACTATTTGTAAAGAAAAATGTTTAATCTAATAAATACATAAAATGAATACATGTGACATTTATAGAATATTTACAATGAAGTAGTTACCAGCAGTTAAAACCTGCTGTAAGGAAGGGAAAAGATGTACTTTATGTATCTGACTACAGTCAACTAAAATATCACCGGTTAATTATGTAAAACAAGGGCTCACACAACTTCAAAATGTACTGGAAAATGTCTCCCTTTTGTAAGTCTGATGCAAAGAAATGTTGCGACTTGAGAGACAGATGATGAATTGTGTACAATATTGTGACAAGGGACAGAACATCATTTACATTGACTACAACATTGCCTTCTATATCCTCACATTTATTTTTGTTTTACAAGAAGCCACTATAAAAATAAGAAGATGTGGTATGATTGCCAATGAGACAACTCTCCACTAAGGATCAAATAATGTAGAAATTAATGTAGTATTAAAAAAAAAATTTTATGCTTTATATAAGTTATGTTATTATCTTTCTATTTCAGGCATTATCATCTAAATAGACTACAACATTTATAAAGAATAAATGGAAAAGCAAGCTGTATGGTTTTGTGTTATCATATATTATATATTAACAGATAAAATTTAGTACCCCAAAACAAAGATTTGTGATCTAGTGAGAGAAAAATATATATGTTTCTGACTTAACACTCAAATTATGAAAGGCAAAACCAAAAACACCTCATTTTACAATGAGTATTAGTTTTAAGCATAATTAGGTACTTAACTTGAACTACAATTATTATTATTAACATTTAGTTTCCATTTGATATTAAAGTGAAATTTCTTTCTTGTATATATCTTGTTTATACTTTAGAATATTTGATCTAAACACTGCCTCATTTTTCTGATACCCTGCCTAGTTTACATCCTACTTATAATGTTTTGGCTACCTGTAAACTAAGACATTATCTGTAGTGTAAAGATTGGATTTGATTTGATTTGATTTTTGGTGTTTTAACGCCACTTTTAAGCACCGCTTTTGGGCTATTTCGTGGCGGCCAGTTTTTATTGGTGGAGGAAGCCGGAGTGCCCTGAGAAAACCACCGACTTTTGATAGGAAAACTGACAATCCTAGTCAATTAAGATTGGAGTCGAGTGCACCCGCACGAGCGGGGTTCGAACTCACAACCTCAGTGTTGACTGGCTAGTGATTACAGTAGTAACTACTTAGACCACTCGGCCACTGAGGCCCCTGTAAAGATTGGAGCCCATGGATTAGTTTTTTTAATAAATGTTGAATATTGATAAGTAATTCTATAATTAGTTTTGAAAATGAAAATTGCAAAATGTTGTTGGTTTCATGACTAAAGTTCACTTTTGGATGCAGCAGAAGCCAAGTTTATCATATAAAAGTGGACATGTCATAAAAGTCTATCCCTATTATAAGCCTTCATATCCAACCAGAATTTAAACAGCCTTGAAACATTAAAACAGGAAAATGAGTTATCCCCAACTCCCGAAACTAACAAGAAATTCAGAAATGCAGATATTCATCATCTCAATAAATACAAGCTTACTGCCTTAATTTGCTGATGTTTTCTTGTCAGTCATATGTTTCACTTTTGATAGCTCTATCATTAGTCTGTTATTCTGGTTTGGTATGAAGGCAATAAACCTTTAATACTTCTTTTTCAAACCTCTATATTATTACCTGCATCTCTTGCTGTATATTGAAGTTTTGTTGTTCCATATTTTTAGCATAATCTTGATTTAAAGACAGATGATAAACAAGTGCTGTTTTTTCATGCTCTTTTATTTCATTTTCTTTTCCCTGAAATTCAATATTACAAGGTGTTTAAACAATCTTCATTTAACTGAATACTGAGAGAAAACTTTGAAAATAAACAAGATGAACACAGATTTTATGCATATTTTCTTAATATTGTTTTTCAAACAATATTACACAGCTTTTTTTTTTAAAGTAAATGTTAAGTTAGTACATTAAAATAAATTCCTTTCATAATTTTACTGTAAATATGACTGCAGTAGGTCAGCAATCATAAAAAAAAAGTGTCTCAGAAAACTACATATATTATATAAACATGATCAAATTATTCTGTTACTCAATAAATAGAAACTAGAGGCTGTCAAGAGCCTGTGTCGCTCACCTGATTCTACTTTGGTTTTGGAAATTATGTAAGAATAGATTAAAATCATAACAGATACCTAATAATGAGTGAGGCCAAATTTGGTTTATTTGGTTTAATATTGGCCCTGTAATTTAATGAAAAATCCTGGTGGCCATCTTGAACAGTAAATCAGCAACAAAGCAGCAACACTTCAACAGCACCTCATAAGAAACATTTATGCCATGTTTGGTTTCATTCCATTCTGTGCACCTCTAGAAGAAGCATTTTTATGTATTTCCCATAGGGTCTTAGTTAAAGGAAGTCCCCCCGCTTGCGGCCATCATGGATGATGTCCTATGTTAAACTAAGTCCCACCCCAAAGTGACTATCTTGGATGATGGATCAGCTTCAAAGTAACAACACTTGGTCAGCACCTCAAAAGGAACATTCATGCCATGTTTGATTTCATTCCATTCAGTGGTTCTCTAAAAGAAGACATTTGTATGTATTTCCAATAGGGTCTTATGTTAAACTAAGTCCCCTGCTGGGGGCCATCTTGGAATATGGATCGGCTTCAAAGTAACAACACTTGGTCAGCACCTCATAAGGAACATTCATGCCATGTTTGGTTTCATTCCATTCAGTGGTTCTCTAAAAGAAGACATTTGTATGTATTTCCCGTAGGGTCCTATGTTAAACTAAGTCCCCCGCTGGCGGCCATCTTGGATGATGGATCGGCTTCTCTATAAGAAGTTCAAAATGTTAAAAGTTAACGACGACGACAGCCGACGGACGCCAAGTAATGAGAAAAGCTCACTTGGCATTTTGGGCCAGGTGAGCTAAAAAGAAATGAAAAAAAATATTATTTTTTTACCAATATTCTGTCTATAGCTAGATGAACTCTATTTTTCAGCAAATTTTAACATATGCTGTGCAAATATTTAATTGAAAAAAAAAATATTTATTTTTTTATATTTTCAAGGTTTTCATGGAATGAATCAAAAACACTTACCTCAAATGTACAGCCAGCACTAGCATATGGACACTTTGCAAGCTTCTTTGGGCATGAATTCTCATGAACTTTCATCTAAAATGATATATTTGAAATCAAAATTCTTTAGCAAACTCACAACTGTACTAACCATAAGGCACTATGCATGCTATACCCTTAAGAAGTTTTGTGTTTTGCAGTATTTTAAAAAAAATTATTTGATTTCAAAATTGGTCCCTACTCTTGTTATTATTACTACACATGAGCATATACTGATGAAGTTTACTGCTATATAATAGAAGGTGAAATTCAAGAAACATTCACCTTAAAATTCATTATGGCTCTTATTGTACCTTCTCTAGAGAGTACTTTCTGGATTGAGTCAGGTTGAAATAGAGAACATAAACAATGAAAATTGTTAAAGTCCAATGGAGAAATAGATTCCTTCTTTGTTTTATGATAAACAGTCGCCTCCCGGTAGTTGTCCTATGTTTAATTTACTGAAACCTAGCGCTGATTAGACATGTTTTTGTCTGATGATAATTTGGTGTCATAAAATCCTCAACTCTGTTGAATTGATTTCCTAACCTAAATATATGGAAACAAAATCTGTTTCTTAACAAGGTACTTTAACTCTTTCATTGGTAAAAAAACAAGCATTCTGTGAGTATTGCATGGCAATACATAGTCCCCTACCGGTTACAAATTCATTGTAATGGAACGAAATTCTAACTTGATCTATAACTTGTCATGGTGTAAACTACATAAAAATATCAAGTCAAAATCTTCAAGCATGACGAAAATAAATGTGGATAGTGTCCACATGTGGACATAGATGATGCCCCCGCTTGCATATCATATAGTTATAAAGGGACATAACTGAAGAACGGTAAAAGTGACGCTACCCAAATTTGAACTTGATCTAAGTTTTGTGGTAATAAGCATTGTGTGTAAGTCTCATAACATTTGGTTGAGGCTAACTTAAGTAGAGAACAGAAACTAAAAATTCAGCAATTTTCTATTTGTAAACACGCATAACTCTAGAACGGTTGTGTATAAGTTTTATAACATTTGGTTGAGACAAACTAAAGTTAGAGAACGGGAACGAAAAATTCAGCAATTTTTATGTTTATAAAGGGACATTACTCAAGAATGGTAAAAGTGTCGCCACCAAATTTTGTACTTAATCTGTATTATGTAGTAATAAGCATTGTGTATAAGTTTCATAACATTTGGTTGAGGCAAACTAAAGTTAGAGAATGAAAATGATAAATTCAGCAATTTTTCCATTTGTAAAGGGGCATAACTCTAGAACCGTAAAAGTGACGCTACCAAAATTCAAACTTGATCTGTGTTTTGTGGTAATAAGCATTGTGTATAAGTTTCATAACATTTGGTTGAGGCAAACTAAAGTTAGAGAACGGAAACCAATCTTGGGACGTACGTACGTACATACTTACGTTCGTACGTACGTACAGACGAACAAGGGTAAAACTTAATGCCCCCTCCGCTACGGCGGGGGCATAAAAACTGTTAAAAACTGATTATTTAAGTGAATTTTCTATGTCCAAAGACCATAACTCTGCACAAAATTATCAGACTGAAACAAAATTCCAACTTGATCTGTAACTTGTCATGATAAAACTATATACTAATTATCAAATCAATATCTTCAAGAATGACAAACAAACCAACCACTAAATTCTTCAAAATAATTTACCAAAGAAAAGGAAAAAAATCCAAAATGTCATTTTGTCTTTTAAAAAATGAGTTATTTCCCTTTGAACAGAAATCTACTAATTAATAAGTATTTCATCAAAAAATTAATTCTAGGGAAAGGGCTTTAACTGAACAAAGAGAAAAGCTAAAATCGTGAAAATTAAACTTGACCTGTAACTTGTCATGGTAAATCAATAAATCAAATATCAAATCAATATCTTCAAGCACGAAGAAAAAAAGTCTGGAAAACTGATTTGCCGGACTGACAGATGGACAGACAGACAGAGTGCAACCTAAATTCCCCTTCGACTTCGTCGGTAGGGGACTAATAAAAGGAAATATTTGACAAGCCTGAAAATAATTAATAATATAATCATTTTCAGTGGTCACTTTGTCAGACAGGTCTAAATAAACCTTATTTTCTTACCTCCTCTCTTGGTAGTTCTCCTACATCACAATGAAATTTACATGAGATAGGAAATCTTGTGCAATCGTCATGGTGATTCTTTAAAAAAAAAAATCAAAAATCATGAAAAAAATCTGTTTAAATAGCTAATTGAGACATAAATCGTATCTATTTATTTGAAATTTATCAATAGTGAAGGAATATATTGAAACCAATTAAATGTTGATTTTTTTTTAACTTTTTGAATTTTCTTACAATCATTTTATGTTATAAATCAAACTTTTGATCTGAATCTAGCTTTTAAGTGAAAAAAATAATTTTCTAAGCCACAGAACAAATCCAATAGGTTATTCTGCTTTAAAAGTATTTGTACCTGAAGGTCTTTTCTCATGACAGGTGATTGACAATGTGAACAGGATACAAGAGAGTACAGACAATGGTTGGTAATATGATCTGTTATATCTTTAAATGAAAGAATTGCTTGACAACCATCATTTTTGTTTGGACATTCTCTAGGTTTATGTTCACAGCTTTCTTTATGGTTCTGTAATTAAAAATCACTTTTGAACATTTAAAATTATACAATATATTTCTTTGCATAAAACATACAAATTTGCTTCATTCATGTTACTAGTAGGTCATTAAAAATTAATATTCTTACAGACAGTGACTTTAGGCATTGCATTAGATCATGTCATTCTGTACTGATCATACTCAAGTATGAAGTACAGCCTCAATATAAGAGTGTAGGACAACATAATTTCAATATTAGCATGTACAGTGTATAGGCTTGCTTTCAGTAACTAGCCATTCTATAGTACATGCACTGTCTTTGGGGGGCACTTTAATCCTTTGGTAGAAGGGGTGAGCAGATAAGACATCCAGTACCCTACCCTTTTCATATATTTGTTATAATTGTTGTGGATACTTGATTTCTTGGTTTTGCCAAAGTCTGAATACAAGACTATAGGAAATTGTAATTTCATTGAACATTTAAATCCATGGTTCACCTGTACCCACAAAATTCACGAAAATAAGTATCTAACGAATAATAATGAATCAACAGTTGTAATCTTAAGTCAACTTTGCAAAGTATGTATGTTCCTTTTAGAAATCAGAAACCTAGTCTTTAGTTAAAACCTATTGTTTATGTCCTTTGTGGAATTTCAAGTTGGGATTGAGTGACATGATTGAATATCTTAGATAGTTTATGTTAAATTTCATTTACAAATTTCTGGGTTCTATGTGATTTAGAACTTACACACTGTATATACATTTGTCTATTGTCTATTTTTGAAGATGCTATATTAACCTATAGATGTCTTGTGTTGGTTTTTTTGTGTCATTAGGTTACTATTTCTTTCGTGTATACCCCTTATCTCCTTTATTGAAACATTATATTTTCATTTTGAAAATTTAGTCTTTGAAAATTACTTAAAAATTTAGTCTGAAAATTACTTGAAAATTCAAAACATGCATCAATCATTCTTCCGTCGAAATAAATATGCATAATCTTACTTTACTTAAATTGGTTATTTTAAATTGCAACAAATTTTAGTTTTTAGTCATCATTTAAAAAGCAAGTGAATCTGTATGAAGTATTAAGATATATTTCAATATAGTTTAATAACTAACTGTGCTAATTAATTCAATTATAAAAGATAACAAAGAAAGGCTATAACACTTAGGGAATAAAATTAAACTGAAGGAAATATTAAGTTCCCCTTAATTCAAATCTAAATGAAAATTCTCAAGCCAAAATAATTTAGTAATTTTTTTAATTATCTTAAATTTTGGTGGAAAATGACAAATATTTTTTTTTTTCAAATCAGTACTTCAAAATTCCCACTTCTGTGTTATCTAAACTGAAAATGATAGGAAGAGAAGAATTATGTTTTTGATTACAAATTTACAGTAAACTGAATTTTAATTATTAATCTAACATGAAAATTCTAGTTATAAATTTTACATGAAAATTCCTGACCTCCTGCACCTCTACAATGTTTTATGTTTATTTTAAGAATTATAAGATATAAATTTCAATTTGATAAAGTCAGCATTTTATCTTTATTTACTACTGAATTCAAAAATAGTTTGAAAAAATAAGTATATCATGATTATATACTTCCTTTACTCTTTCCTTATCTATACAGGAATTATTTCATGTTTAAATATAACCATGACTTCACAAGTCAAAATATATCTCAAAAACAATTTTTCTATAATAGGTCAACAATTATAGAGATTACAAATGCATAAATAATTCTTTCCATATATGTACATTAAAATGGTATATTGTTTGGTCTGCACAGGTTTAATAGCTGTTTTATGAAACCTTCTTTGGAAGTCTATATACTGTTAAGGAACCTTAAATAGTTTATATACATGTACTTTTACCAACAATTTAAAAAATAAAAAAAAACAGTTAATCCACTGATTCAGAATAAAAGGTTGAAATCTAAAAAAAAAATACATGTAGTTTAATCCTTCAACATCATATCTGCCTGTTACATATCAGAAATCTCATCAGTAAAAGTCTTTTTTCATCTTCTTGTGTTTTTGTTATTTTGAAAATTTGGTGTTGATAGCAGATCATCGAAATCTCTGTTAAATTTTTTTTTTTTCTGGATGTTTTAGAGCTTAGACATTTTGAGTAGACATGGGTCTATTGTGGAAGACTGTTGTTGACCTATAGGCAAATGCTGGATGTCTTTTGGATTTGTGTTGTTGGGTTGCTGTCTAATTGATATATACCCCGGTACGTATACCCTGTATGTCTTTTTATTCACAGATGTATAAAATTTCCTTTTGTTTTTTCTAAACATGAAAAAACCTATTACAAACTTTGGAATTACCTGGAGTTTTTGCCACTCTATGACAGTGGCACATCCATTTGTCTTGTATGGACAATATACTTTTGATTTAAGAATTTCTCTTCTGGTGCCATAATCTGGAACAACCTACAAACAATGGTAATAATTCTTAATTAATCATTGCTCAAACTTTTTATCTATCTCATATATGTTGTATGATACATTTGTAAAAACTGTTTGAAATTAGATCCTTTTAGACTCTCAGCATATAGGTATACATGTATCAATGAAATTCATCATGAGTTCTTTTAAATATTGAAATAATGGCAGTCTTAATATACTTCTCCAGACAAGAAATAATTTCTAAATTTCATGAACAGCTAGCTATCAGAGTGGAATACGGAAATGGCACTACATTTATTTACCACAGTAGTGGTTTATAATCTGTATACTTGTTTTGTGGTCGTGCATCATTTTATAATATATAAAGTACATTTTGTATATCGTCACTATAAACAGGAAACAGGCACTAAAATGGTCAATACTAAAATCTAAACCCACTGTGCAAAGTCTGTATGTGTCAAAGTTATTATGTTTTATGCAGACTAAACAGGTTGATTGAAGCCAAGCCTGCATTGAACATATAATTATTGTATACCAGTAATACATATGTAAATGTTATCTTAAATTAATCCATCAATACTTTTCAATTTTGAAGTATCCATGGAAATAAAAACTTAACCTTGTTAAATAAGAACAATAAAAATAAATGGGGAATGTGTCCATGGGACACAGATGATGCCCCCGCTTGCATATAACCTCAAAAAGGGACATAACTCAAGAACTGTAAAATTGACGCTACCCAAATTTGTACTTGATCTGAGTTTTGTGGTAATAAGCATTGTGTATACGTTTCATAACATTAAATTGAGGCAAACTTAAGTTAGAGAACGGAAACGAAAAATTCAGCAAATTTTCCATTTGTAAAGGGGCATAACTCAAGAACAGTAAAAGTGACTCCACGAAAATTCGATCTTGATCTGTGTTTTGTGGTAATTAGCATTGTGCATAATTTTCATAACATTTGGTTGAGGCAAACTAAAGTTAGAGAACGGAAATGAAAAATTCTGCAATTTTTCCATTTGTAAAGGGGCATAACTCTAGAACGGTAAAAGTGACGCCACCAAAAATTCAAACTTGATCTGGGTTTTGTAGTAATAAGCATTGCGTATAAGTTTCATATCATTTGGTTGAGGCAAACTAAAGTATAAACGGAAACCAATTATGGGACGTACGGACGTACAGATGAACAAGGGTAAAACTTAATGCCCCCTCCGCTACGGTGGGGGCATAAAAAAACATATGGTGCTACAATGTACATGTATATAGAAAAGTGAATGTAATAGGTATTCATACTTACATCATTTCTTGAAAAAGAAAAACAGTCTTCATCATTCACTGGACATGTTCCTTCCGAAATAGAATTATTAAATAACTGATCAATACAGGATTCACAAGTCTTATGCCCGCAAGGCAACTGTACACAGTCTCTCAACACATTCCGACAAATAGGGCAACTATTGTTTCTGAGATCTATTTCAACAAATTCTGGTATTTCCACTGGAGTAGATATGATTGATCTGGATGATATGGAACTCATTATGGGGGAGGGTGCTAATTCACAGTGTTAAAGCAAAATCATAGGCAACAAATACACAGCTATACTATTGGATTATAATACATACACAAAACAAAAAAGCTCAAAGATCAGTTACAGCGGTGGATCTTTGATTTCAATAATAATGTATAACAATTTTAGTATTCTCTCTATCGGCTGTATGTAATGAAAAACCAAACAAGCTCTGGTATGTTTGTAGAAGAAGTGGCAACTACCAGGCATAACCATTAGTGCTGAAAAAAAAGTTAAAAAATATTTAATACCTTTTATTACTACATGTACTGTAAGTATCAATTGTACTTCATCAAAAATTTATGGCATTCTTCTAGTAAAATCAGACATAAAATTCAAATACGGCAATGTCATTTAACCTATATGTAACTTCATGCTGTGACTTTTTTACAGTTACATTACCTGAAACTATTACGAATTGTTTGATAAAAAAAATATATAGATATAAAATTATGTCTCTTTCCCGTCTCATGCCAAAATTTTTTTTAATTGATTGACAAAATTTTGAGAAATCACAGGTTTTCTCTAAGTCTAGTGGCAATTAACAATATACATTCAGTATTTCAATCTTGCAGGTGGCACTTTTTCGAATTTTCAATAATTTAATTTTGGATGTAACCCGTCTTCCGATTGGCTGACGTTGTTTTGTTTATCAGCTCATAGACATAATTTTGTCATGTGACCTTGACGTCATTAAAGTTTTTTCATGATTTACTCCAGTTTAAAATGGAATTAAGGATTAAATTATAAGAAATGACTGTAATATTTTTTCTGTCTATTCGAAATAACATAAAAAATGTGGTGCACACTTTAAAACAACCCGTGGTTATTCAGTGTGCACCACATTTTTGATGTTATTTCTTCATAGATAGAAAAAATATTACAGTCATTCCATAAATGCTTGGAAAACTTTTTCCCTTGATTTATTGTTTTATTATAAATTTGACTAAATAAGTCAGTGGAAAAGGATTGGTTTTCTACTTTGTTGACACAAAACCCTATTTTTTATAATTTTCTTTGTTAATTCATAAAAAAAATTTTCAGATATGTAGAAATGTGATTATATACACAATATACATATTTTTGATGCCTTGTAAGTGATATTTGGCCATAACATTTAATTACAGTAACTATACTTTTTGAATTAGGTAAATTCACTTAAGCTGATTCTTGCCTATCAAGAAAGAGATAAAAGAATGTGTATTGGTTTTCAAAAAGTATGCTGATGTTAGGTGTAATACCACCAAATGTCTAGCTTCATTTTAAAAAGAGGCAGGAAAAAAATCCACGTTTATTTGATAGTTGGAGGAAATTTACGCTGCATTTCATTGTAGAAAATATTTTTTTAGTCATAAACATATATCTTGGGTGTTTCAAAGCACTTTTTTTTATCTGTTGTTTCTTTAAAATATTGGAAACCTTGAGGTGACCTGGTTACTAAAGCTTGTAAACAGGTAAAAAAGGGGTGAAAAGTTACTTTGTTTACTTCCTGTGAATGTTATTTTCTTGTATGCAACGAAATGTTGTGTGAAATTTTCACTGTAGTACTGGATAGGATAAAACTTTATGCATGCAAGTATTTTGTTATTATAAATAAAGGTAAGTTCTGCATATATTAAAAAAATAAAATGATTCGCTGAGCGCAGCTGGATACTACCGCAGAGGTCCAACCCTGAACAGTTGGGGCGAAAATGGACACAATATTCGCGCTTGATACAGTCTGAATTTGGATTGTAATTAAGTATTTGACACATAATAGGTTTCTGACACCGAATAACTGTAGCCAAAGAACTTAGAATTGGTTATATGATTTGAATTTATATTCAATTTTTTTTAGCCCCCTCCCCCCCCCCCCCCCCCCCCCCTCCCCCTTTTCCAAAAAAAAAAATTCTTTCCCTCAAGATATGGTCATAATCTCAATTCAAATTTCCAATGGAGGTTGCAACCATAATTACCAATTTAAATACATCATAAAAGTCTAGATAATTTCAAAGCAGTGTAAGGGAGGTAATCCAACATTGTACAATATTGTACATTTTTGAAAGGTGGTAGGTAAACATAGATTTATTAAAATAAACATAAACAAAAAATATGAACAGATTATTTCTTTTAAGTCAGCTTTAAATAAAAGATGGCATACTTTAATTTTGATGATATTCTATGTCTTTATACATTTCTCGATTTCTTCTTTTCCTGACCTGTTGATTATTTTTACTTAATAAGTGTGTGGTTCGTTTGATTTCAGTTCTTCATTGGTAAAAATTCAATTATGACATCAATTGTTTTGCTTTCTTTTTTTCTTATTGTGACGTCATAAAAAAAGGCGACCATGCCTGATGACATTACACAGAAAGAACACATCTTTTTGAAGATCATTGTAAAAGAAGGATTAAATTTGTCTCCATATTTGTCCAAAAAATCATTAGAAACAGATTCTACCACCAAATCTTTAGCAATAAGGTATTTCTCCACTCTTGCCCATTAAATTTTTGATTTGAAAATTAAACTATCTTGAGTTGAAAAATATTGTATCACACTTGCAGTGGTAGAATCGATCAATACATGCTATATATACATGTATGTATATTATTATAGATAACTAAATTTTGAAAATTTTGAAAAGCCTGGCACAAAAGCGAGCACAGTTTTTACTCTCATTATTCTTTTTTAATCTTTTCTCATGGAGAAAAATCCAAAATTGCACACCTAACCTTTTACTTGAGATTTACCATGTTTACTTTTACTGGGTATGTACATTTGTATCTCTACACTGACTTTGAATCTCAGAAGATATCATCCCCCAAATCAATCTTCCGCAACGGCCATGATGTACATCACATGTTTTGATACAGCATATACATTGGAAATGTGCTACAGGTGGTTAATACTTAAATAAAAGTTTCATATTCATTGGAGTAAAATGAATAAGAAATCAAAGGTTTATGATTTATCTACTTGAAAATAGTTCCATTACGATTATGACACAGAAACTTGCCACCCTCAAGACTGGGTTAGCAATTTTCTAAATGGACTGTGCTCTAACGTACCTTGGCTCCAAGAAGTACAAGTTCAACTGCTTTCATAGCCGCGGGTTGAGTTTTCTAAATATTTTAACTTGAAATGAAACAAATGACAGTGATTGTTTACAATTCTGCCATTTTGTTACGTCACGAGTTTTTTTCTCTCTCAACATTCTTTGAAAAAAACATTGTGTTTGGCAGCGTATTTACATCACATAGGAATTTAGGGAATGCATTTAGTGTTTATTATACTATTTATGGATCAACTGGGTCAAGAAATTCTTTAGAACGTTATTTTTCTGTTTGCATTGTGACCGTCTAAAAATAGAAACTTAAGGATACATTGGGCATCTACACCGGTGTGCCAAAAAGATAATATCAGCATGTGCACGAGGGTGCCAAAAGGATACATTCCGTATGAAATGGTTAAAGAGGCCGTCAGAGCAATCTTTGGCTAGACCCTCTTATGAGATACAAATGCTATCTGGAACTACTTATAAACTGAACAATCATTATGTTCTCAACTTCTGGAACTACATAAATTTCTTACATTTAATATGAGCTAATTAGGCAAGGTTATGCAATAGCACACGATTACTATCATTATTATTTTCAACAGACTAATTACTACTGGTAAATCCACTTGGTTTTTACTATGTGCTATTTTTACACAATAATCAATCAAAATAAACCTTTCTTTAAAATTAACAATGGGACATCAGAGTAAGTTTAAAAGTTTAAATGGCCATTAAAATTTAAAAACTCTTTTATATGACTGAGACTTATATAGTTATTAAGTAGTCTCGGAATATGCGTATATATCTGAGTTATCTAATTCATGTTTTTTGTTCTAAATTTAGCTATTGTGCATAACGATCGTCCTCCTTTTGCTTTCATGTTTCTTCAACTAGTATCGATTCGCAAAAAGCTCAAATGTGCAGGCATTTAACTGAGATGGACCCATGCGTGCTAAAATGTATACTGGTTGAGCGCTATGAAGCGATGAACTAGTGACATCGCACAATCCAAATAATTTGTTAAGGTCGTTGGCATCTTTCGAGGTTTTTCGCGTTTTCATTGCGTAGCTAATGTATTACTGTTGCTTTGAAATATTTGATTTTACTTATAAAATCCTTCCTTATTTACCTTAAACAACATGTGTAACGCATTATCAGTGTCCGTACTGCCACATGAGCACAACTTTACAACGCTCTAATCAATGGCGTCCCCTCAAATCATTTATAAATAGATCATGGAATTTTTAAACTATAAATAGAAAATTCTCCCCCTACCGGCAAAGCCGAGGGGGACTTTAGGTTTGCACTCCGTCCGTCTGTCCGTCTGTCCGTCGTCAGTCCGGCAAATCAGTTTTCCACACTTTTTTATTTGTGCTTGAGATTTGATTTTTGCATAAAGTAAGTTATATAGCATGACCAGTTACAGATCAAGTTTGAATTTTGTTCCGGTCTGATGATTTTGTGCACAGTGATGGTCCTTGGACTTAAAAAATCATGGTTTCCGCACATTTTTCGTCATGCTTGCGGACTCTAGTTTGATATTTGGTATATAATTTTACCATGACAAGTTCTCAGACTTAAAAAAATAATTAGTTTTCCACAATTTTTTTCGTCACTTTGAAGAAATTAATTGATTTGATATTTGTTTTATTGTTTAACCATGTCAAGTAATGGCTCGAGTTCGAATTTCGTTCCGATCAGTTAAATTTTTTTTTGCAGAGTTATATGGTCATTGGATTTCGAAATTAAAAGCAAGTAATCATTTGTCTCGCACATTTTTGTCATTTTTCCAGTACAATGAATTTTTAACCGGTAAGGGACTATGTAATGTCATGCAATACTCTCAGAATGCTTGTTCTACTGGCGGCAATAACTGATCGTCAAATAAGGTTCAAGACAAAAGACGAAAATAAATATCTGTTTATATATAAACAATTCAAAATTCACAACGCAACTACAGTAGTTGGTAAAGAAAATAAGTGCACTGCAGAATCAGCTGCGTTAAGATTTAAATAAAAGATTTGTTTAAAATTATTGGATTTACTATTGTTAGTACTTATCATATTTGTTGTAAACATGTCTGTATCCAGATAACATCATGGGGACAATATAACCTCATAGAGATAACATCACATCTTCGCTAGCCAATTACGATCAGGTATCCTCCTTTACAACCATGGCAGT